GTTTTTAAGTCGTTCGATATCCCCATGAATTTAATTCAAAATGGTGATAACCGACCTCTCTACCTCATTCCCATCAAATGTTATTCAAAAAACATCTGAGTGCCACTGCTTTTTGACTCCGGTACTAGTGCTCAATATTTTCATAAAACTAGCGTAAAAGAGCAGACAGATCTTAACTCTATTAAAATTGTTATGCATCGCTCTATGGAGTTTCAGCGGTTGTCGATGAAAAACAACAACTGTACAGAAAATATGACACCAGGTTGCGATAGAAACAAGTCATTTCAAGGCCTCCTATGTCAGTCATCCGTCACGACGAAAAGCAAGGTAACGTCAGATTTCTTTTCTGATTATATCTGGGCTCAACTGTTTCACATGCTTTTTACGGCGAATATTTGATTGGAATGCGGGATAGATCTAAAATTTGCTCAAAAGCTACTACATCAGTAAAAATCTAATTTTCTAGATTTTTCTACTAAAATTTGGACAAAGTTGAATTTTCTCAATGAAACATTTAAATTTGATTATTAGCACTGGATATCTTTGTAGAGCATGCTTTAGTGAGGTGTGCAATACTTTCATTATGTCCAACAAACTTTAGAATAAAACAATAGGTGGTAAATGATGACAGAGGACTGTACATATATTCAGATAATTTCTACGTTCTATGAAAAACGCGAAGGTAGTGGTAGCAAAAAAAGAGCTATGTATCGAAAAATATTTATTCTTATATCCTTCAATAAATAACAAACGAGACAAAACGATCAACAACAAAGTTCTTTCTGTATGATAGAACGCATTATAAAAAAACAAAAATCAACAGATATTATAAAAATGACATTTGTACACACACACGCACACAGAAGTTGCGAGAGATTCAAAATATATATGAAAATAATTTGGTCTGTCTTCTAATGTCTCATATGTCCTACACGATATTCGTAAAAACGTACTAACATTCCACTCATATTCCATTGGGCAATAACAGAGAGGATATAGAGAAAAAATAAACCGGTTAACGGAACCAATAACACATGGGTATTGCGGAGAAATGGTAACACTAAAATATGAGAAAAAATGATAATAATATCGTGTAATCAAGTGTTCTAAAATTTTCAACTCTTCAATTAGTTAGTTTATTCACGAATCAATACATACCGCTAAAGCCAAGAAACAAAATATAAATATAATAGCCAATAGCAATTGCCCATAACGTATTTCCCAGTAAACAGTAAAAAAAGCTTGCATCTTGACCGAATGCTAAAATTGAATGAAAAGAAACTTTTTTCTGCTCGATTTTTCGAATTATAACAAGTATACCTTTTAAAAATGGTAACTGAACAATGTGTAAAACGGCAACAAGTGGTAGAATAGCATTTAAATGGACATCAAAGCAATACGCCCATTCAACATCAAAATGTGCTCGTGGACTGGAGATCAAATATCTATTTGAAACATACCTAAAGCAAATATAATACAGTTGCAGTTCTAAAACTCATGCTCAATGAAATTCATTGAAAGAACATAGTATTTGTGAATAATCTAGTACACGGTTGGGAATAATATTTTTCCAGGGGGGGGGGGGGGGTGGGGGTGAAAGTATATTTTATTTAAAATTTTAGGATTTACAAATTTAATGGGNAATTAATGCTCATCTAAAATGGAATTGATGGGTATGACTGAGATTCCGTATGACAATTATTGACTGTAGAACTATGGAAGTTTCTATCGAGTGCATCATAATGAATGAGCCTCTCAGTATTTTCTATTTTTCTCATGTACATTCAGGATCTCGCGGTTTGTGTTTTTTTAAAAGATGCGCCACGAAATATTCTACAAAACCATACCTAAACTTTAATTTTAGAACTTTAATCAAGGAAACTACGTAAATTATACGAAAGG